CTTGACAATACGTCGATTTTGCTTCTTGGGGCAATTTTCAACTTTGTGGCCTTCTTCACTGCAATACAAGCATAGACCTTCCTCCATACGCCGCTTTTTTTCTTCTAGAGGAAGGGATTTGACACGTACCACATCAATTTACATGTCTCCTACCTCTGAATGTGAATTCACGCTGCTTGTCGACATAGTTGGAGCATGGCGAATCATATGTTGTCTTGAACGTTGGTCTTGGCGGCGTTGGAATAGGCGATTATTGCACTTCACAGCTTGGCTAATAGCTTCGTTGAGTGTTTACGGATCAGGAAGAGTTAACAGCAAATCCTTCACATCGTCCTTTAAACTCCAATAGAATTGACTCATCAACGCTTCTTCATCCCAATTGATGTCGCATGCTAATTGCTTGAAGTCCGATGCATAGATTGATGCAGAGCGCATCCCTTGTCGTAGTAACCAGATCTTTGTTGTAGCCCATCGAACCTTGTCGTATTCACCAAATGCTTCCGCAAATGCCTCCAAAAAGGTTTCAAAGTTGTTTAGTATGGACGATCGTTTCTCAAACAAAGGAGTAAACCATGATAGAGCTTGTCCTGTAAGTAAGGTTCCAAGAAGCCCAACATGTGACTCCTCTGTTGAATAGCGTTTGGGCTGTAAAACTGTTATCAACCTGATTTGGTTGACGAATCCTCGAAACTTCAAACGCGTACCATCAAACTTGTCCAGAAGACTAACTCGGGACTCCTTATGTTGTAGAACCAATAGTGCTTGTCGAACCTGAGGCAAAGTTGCTTCTCCAAGTGCAGAAGTTTGAGGTTGGTGCAACCTAGATTGTGCCATCCTAGATGCTCCATTATTATGAAGCCTTGCCACGACTCCTTCAATCTCTGCAGTTCTTTGCGATAACATAGCAAGGGCATTCATGATAGCATCCAACTTGGACTCTGAACTTTCTATCATACTAATGTCTTGGCCCCCGGCCATTCTAAGAGAAGGACAGAAATGACTCTACAAGAAGACAATATTGGTTTAGAGGAGGGTACTCCACAACCTCTAAAATGCCTTAAGAGCTTTAAAAAAGGGGGTAATCCATTCTCTCCAAGAAGAATAAGACTCCAATATTGTAACAAAAGAAGTATCAGTTTAGAGGAGGGTAATCCGCAACCTCTAAAATACTAGTACACTTCCAAGCAGAGGAGTAATCCACACTCTAACAAAGAAGAAATTAGCTCTGATATCTGAGGTGAGTGAAGTCTCGATAAACTGTCATGGACACAGAAATACAGACTCAAGATCTAACAAGAAGTTCAAGAAGAACTGGCAAGAACTAGATTAATCAGATGAGAACAACACCAGAGAAGTGAGCTAGAGCTCCAAGAGATGTGTTGTCAAGACTGAAGAACTCTTCAGCCTCGATTCCAATATATACTCCTATTTAGGAAGCTTCTAGAAGATTCCAGAGACTTGCTTCTAGAAGGTTGTAGAAACTTATCTCTAGAAGGTTCTAAGGACTATGTCCCTGACATCTTCTACCAACTAAGAAGCTTCTAGAAGGTTCCAGAAACTTGCTTCTAGAAGGTTCTAGAAACTTATCTCTAGAAGGTTCTAAGGATTATATCCCTAATAGTAATACGACAACGTATACAACTCATTACCTGGCCACTCTTCCTTCATGCAAATTTACCTTCATCTATGTGGGATCATGCAGTTTTACATGTTGCACCATTAATATGCCTCCCCCCTTCTTTTCTTGAAATTATTTCACCACATGAGTTTATTTTGAATCGTGGTCCAAATGTATCTTACTTACAAGTATTTGGTTGCCGTGCTTGGATTCTAGTACCAAAACCTCAACGGCGTACCATTGGAGCTCATCGACAAGAAGACATATATGTTGGTTTTGATTCACCAAGAATTATTCATGTTCTTGATCCATCAACTAGCACATTGTTACGTGCATGTTTGTAAAATTGCCATTTTGAAGAAAATATATTTCCATCTCTTCAAGGAGGAGTATCCAATCAACAAAGAAATAAAGTAATTATATTTGAAGCACCAGAAACATTTATAATGAATCTTGATCCTATGATATCTTTGACAGAAAGTAAAGTTGCTAAGATTTTGCATCTAAAACAGATTGCAGATGAAACACCTGATGGCTTCAATGATACACCTAGAATTACAAGAGTTTCTATTAATGAGGCTCAGAATGCACCTGCTCAAATTGTAGTGTCATTGACTACAATACCTCAAGTTATAACAAAAACAACTAAAAAAACTTGTGGACCAGATAAGCAACTACATAAGAAGAAAGCTATAAAATTGACTAATCTTGGTATTATTTTTTAAGAAATTGCCACTCATCCTATAAGACTACCAATTCATGATGATATATCTATGCATAATGTACCTTCAATTCCTATGAAAAACAATCTTGGAATTGGAAGGAATAAGAACAAGTTGAATAAATAATTATCTATTCTATATTCTACTACAGATGATATTTGGGACAGACCATCTATTATGGTAGATGAATCATTTGCACATATGATTATAGAAGCCCTTTCTTACAAGGAAGATGATCTTGAAACTCAAACCATTGAAGAAGCAATGCGTTACTCCAATTGGTCAAAATAAAAAATTGCTATTGAGGAGGAGTATGCATCTTTGGTCCAATTGTAGACACTCTTACATCTCGCCTTGTGGGATATAAGATGGTATTAATACACAAGCCAGATGCTCAAGGTCAAATAACCCGCTATAAAGCCCGTCTTGTTGCTCAAGGATTTACTCAACAATTTGGTATTGTTTATGAATCCACATATTCTCAAGTCATGGATTCAATTACATTTTGATATATTATTGGAATGACAGTTCATGCCACCCTTGAGATGTATCTGATGGATGTAGTAACTGCATATTTATATGGTTTTCTTGATGCAAATATTTATATGAAAGTTCCACCTGGCTTAGAAATAGGAACTCCAAATAGACTAGCTCCAAGACAATATTGTGGTATTAAATTATGTAAGACCTTGTATGGTTTAAAAGAATCTGGATGCATGTGATATCAACGTCTTTAAGATTATTTAATTACAAATAAGTTTGTAAGTGATCCACTAATCCTTTGTTTATTTATCAAACGAGATAAAATTCGTTTTGTGATCATCGTTGTATATGTTGATGATCTTGATCTAGTGGGCACTACATCTGAATGTATTATAGCTACTAACATACTTATATATGAATTTGAGATCAAAATGCTAGGAAAAATAACTTTTTGCATTGGTCTTCAGATTATACATATAACGGATGGTAGCATTTTTTTCTACCAACTAATGTATATTAGACAAAACTTGCGAAGATTTAATATGATTGATGCTTATCCATTGTCCACACCAATAGTTGGATGTGGTCGTGATGGTCATGATCCATACCATCCGTGCGAGGGAGAGGAGGAAATATTGGGAGATCAATATCCATACCTTGTAGTAGTTGGAGCACTTTTGTATTTAGCTATATCTACAAGACCAGATATTGCATTTGCAGTTAGTGTTCTTCCAAGACATAGTGCACGTCCAACACTACGACATTGGAATGGTATCAAATATTTATTATGTTATTTAAAAGATACTGAAGACTTGGGATTATACTACACACAATCTGTAGATCCAAAATTGGTTGGATACTGTGATGCAGGATATAAATCTGATACTACAATAGCTAAATCTCAAACAGGATATGCATTTTTAAGCCATGGAGCTGTAATATCATGGAAATCAATGAAACAAACAATAACTGCAACTTCATCCAACCATGCAGAAATTATTGCCTTTCATTAAGCATCTCGAGAATGTATTTGGTTGTGATCAATTGATAAATTCATTCAAACAACTTGTGGATTTTCACATAATGATTTTCCACCTATCTTGCATGAAGATAATAGTGTTTGTATTGCACAGATGCAAGTTGGTTTTATTAAAGGCGACAGGACAAAGCATATTGATTCAAAGTATTTTAGTTATATCCATGACTTGATTACTGATCAAACACTTATAATTAAGAAAATTGAATCTACAAATAACCTTGTTGAACTCTTCACCAAAGCTCTCCCATTGTGCAACCATCGTCGACTTACTTATAGCAATGGTATGCGGCGACTTACTTTTTTTGAATAAGAAAGTTAATGAGCTCTTTAAATAATTAAAAAAAAATAATGTTGTATTCTTTTTCTTTCATCTATGGTTTTATCCTTAAATACAATAAGGTTTTTCTAAATAAGGTTTTAATGAGGCAACAATTGTTGATCTTATAAGATCACAAAAAAATATAGATCATGATTCTACACAAATTTTATATTATGTAAATATTATGATGAGCGAGGAGGAGTGTTGAGATCATTAAATGTAGCTGGTGCTCTCTATAATATTTACTGTAGACTATACTAAATACCATAGCTACAGTATTTAGAGTCTAGTGGAGAAGTATTGTTTATCCTCTCCTCCTCTTCTTCTATACTAGACACAACCAGATCAATAGATTTTTTTGTGTGTGAAGCTCTCTCTTCTTAGAAACCCTCTTCTTAGAAATCCTATTATGTGTATGACTTACTACTACTCTTGTGTGTGTATTACTTACTATTACTATTACTCTTGTGTCTTTCTAAACATTCTCAATACAACCAAGGACTATCATATTTTTCTGTTTCCAAAAAGTCGAACAATACTTTTAGTAGCAAGGCGCCTTAAATTAAATGTGCAGAAGAGTGAGCAGCCTCGAAGAAAAACACTTATCCGCATCATTATTAGAAATTTTTTATAAAAAGCGAATAGTTCATACATTGACTATGTGGGGAAAGTTGCGCGTGGCCGCAGCCGAAGTCATGGCGAGCTGGTCGAGAGACACCAACCAAGATTTTGCTCCTGATGGGGAATTATGCTTGAGTAGAAATCGTCACAGCCACTGTACAAAACCTGTTACTAGACTGCGACGATGCCGTCAAAACCAGGAGCGCCTACCGAGCGTGCTGCTTGCGTTCCAACTGTCGCAAGGGCGGTGGGCGGCAACTGGTCCCGAACCCCTTCCGACGTCGCCACGATTAGTGCAGCACAAGATTTGGTCGATCACTCATATGGGTCCGCATGCACAAACCCCACTTCGATCGCCAAGGTGTCGAGATCTGCTCCTCCCTTTCCTTTCCGCCGAAACGCCAGTTCCCTACGAACCGAAATGCTTTTTCTCAGCCCTGTCTCACTTGTCATTCACATGTTATTTTCAAGACCCCGTCGTCATATAACAATCGATCTGGTTGTCACACTCACCATAACAAGTCTATTCAATTCTGCGTCGTAACGAAACGCTGCCAATCTTCAACGACGGTTTCCTAAGCCAGTTTTGTAGCAGCTGCTGAATTGGGTGAGTGTAGTCCCTGTAACCGAGATTTGATGGCTGGTGTGTTGAATTTTTGAGCGACAGAGAGGTTTAGTAGATTTCGAGATGTCTTTGGGGTATGAGGTTAGATCATTGATGCTCATGGCGTGGTGATTGTGATGGTGTCCTGTTTGTTGCGGTAGGAGGGGTGGCAGTAACGGATAGTGGAGGAACGATGGGGCAGTCTATCGGCACGTTGTTTGGGGGGAACCTCAATTCTCTGGGAGGGGGCACCAGTATCACAGCTGACGAAGTCACCAAGAATTTGAGCCTCAACGGTTTGACGGCCATTGTAACTGGTATGTAGAGCCTTGATTGAATTCGTATCCTCACAGAGCTGTTTGAAGCTGAGTGTATGTAAGATGATTTGTGGTAAGGGAGGAAGCCAAACACTGTCATGGAGATATTGACATGACGCGCTCGTGTCGGGAAATCGATGGTTGGATCGGGGTTTTATTTTAATGCAGGTGCCTCATCTGGTTTGGGGAAGGAATGTGCTAGGGTGTTAGCCAAGCGCGGTGCGTATGTAATTCTAGCCGCAAGGAGAGTGAGCGTCCTGGAGGAAGTCAAAGCTCTTATCACTGCTGAGACCCCAAACGCCAAAGTGGAGATTATGCCACTAGATTTGTGTGACATGAAGTCCGTGCATCAGTTTGCGGAAGAGTACAAGCGGAAGAATCTGCCTCTTAACCTTCTTATGTAAGTACCTGTTTCGATTTCAGTGATCACTCTGCTCCGGAGTTAATAGTTGCTAAGCCTGTTAAAGATGAGGAGCATAAAAGATTGGGTTAGTTGTTTCTAACCTTGTTTCATCTCGGTGTTGTTGGCACACAATTTGCATGCTTATCCAGGACATAGACATTCTGACGTGGTTTTTGGTATATTCTAGGAACAACGGAGGAATTTTTGCGAAGCACTTCACACCTACGGCAGACGGCATCGAGGTCATGTGGATGACTCACGTTGTTGGTAAATGTCCAGAAGCTTATTGACAAAACCATGATAAGTTTTTAAAGATACTCAACATTTCTACAAAAACCCAGTTACTTGGCTTACTTTTCGAAATTTCAACTTCAAAATGAACCAGGATGTGAAAATCCCCATGCTTGCAGGTCACTATGCTCTCACAATGTGTCTCATGGACAAGCTTAAGGAGACAGCCGCGCAGAGTGGCGTGGAAAGCCGGATTGTGTTCACGGGGTCTGAAGCTCACCGCGTTGCTTACGAAGGCGGAATAAATTTTGATGCTCTGACAGATCCAAGCAAGTAAGCATTCGCATCCAAAAGCTCGTAAGTTCTCATGGTGTCTTTCTATGGAATTACGACCCTGGAAGCGGCTTAAACTTAATCATACAAAGCTACTTAACACAGCTGTTTTTTTTTACTTTTCTGTTAGGTTGGTTAATGTGGTCTGTGCGACTGCAGGTACACAGCATATCAGGCGTATGGCCAGTCAAAAATTGGAGATATTCTTCTAGCGAAGATGATAGGAGAACAGTTGAAGGTATTGACAAATCTATGCATTCCTGAGACATTGTTCATTCACGTCGTCGATGGTGATGCTATTCTAGTAAACTAGCATGTCAGCGGTACTTAGTTTGTCATGCTTTCCAGTAAATTGTATGTGTGATAATACCTGGAATTCGTGTTCAGACGTTGGCTGGAAATGAACGGGCTCTTGTGTTAGGCATGAAGGGATTAATGCAAAGAATGAAATGTTGTCTGCTGTAGGCTGAGGGCGTGAACGTAGTTGCTAACGCGGCTCACCCCGGAGCGGTGAAGACTTCATTGGGCAAGAATTTCTTCGAGAAGGGTACCACAGGTAAGAAATTCTGTACACTACCTGTGAAAGGATATGCTTACGGGTTTCGTAGCACTTCAAATAGAACACCAGATCTGTCTACACTTGAAACATAGGTCTAGCTCTCCATTGTTGACCTCTGTTCAAGAGATCATAATATAATTGCATTGTAGCTGGAGGTTTTGTTGGTGGAGGTTATGAATATTGCAGAGAGGTTGAATCCTGAGATCGACAACCAGGATTCTGAGTGTCTTTGCAGAGGTTGGCTATGCAGTCTCGAAGCCATTCATCAAATCTCCGGAACAGGTAAACTTTCAAGTACTTGTCGGTGTATCTTCTACGGCGTTTCATGATAGATACCGGCAGTTAAACATCAGAAACTTACTAGAGTCGTGGCAAAGAAAAGTTGAATAGCTGAGACAATCATAGATGGTTAATGTGGCCTTGACGCAAACTCACCGAACAATTGCTGACCCACAAGATGGGCTGTATGTCGAAGAATATTTCACTGAGGAGATTTGGATGATGCAGGGAGCGGCAAATCTTATTTATGTAGCAGTAGCTCCAGAGCTGGAAGGAGTATCAGGTAAGTTCTTCTCCGACATGAAGGAAGTTAATCCGAACAAATATGCGAGCAGTCCCGAGCTCGGTCAGAAAGTTATGAAATGGTGTGAAGATTTTGTGGCTAAGAAAATGAATGCCTGAGCAACTGTGAGTAGAGGTCGCCAGTATGGATAATTGGATAAATATCCCTCAAGTCGTTTAATGTTGAAAAGATTTCTAGTTGGTACAATGAACCATCGAATATGGACGTGGTTAACTCCGGCAAATAGTGAAAGCTTGTGAAGTGACTGGACGCTATGTGAATAAAAAAAACTCCAGTTTCCTGTCATGACTGGACTTCTTAGCTGTAAAATGGGAAGAAAGAGAACAAAAAAATGTCATTGATACCAATGGTAAAAATGTGTGTAGGGTGTTTAATTAAACATCTTAGAAGGATGTTTTATTAAATATACTTTTCCGTCGAAGTATTTGTTTAAATAGTCGATACTCCGGACCTTCAAAAGAGGACGTTGATATATAACACAAGCCAGCCTGCCATTGAGATGACTGCAAATATGTGCTCATAGAATAAAATGGCTGATGCTTCTTTCTCAGCATGCCCTCGCAAGTTAGTTACAGCCCCTGTAAAAACACAGTCAGCCAGTTTCTGAAGAAGGGAATACAACTTTTTTAATAAAACATACTCAAAGGAAGCTATTGGAAGTCATTCTTCAAAATTCAAATGTAAGATCCGACAGGAAGAATAATGCTCAACGAGGAATTACCAGCTAAAATAGAGCTGGGCATAGTGTGTTGAAGCAGCAATACGAATTTGAAAACGTTGTTGCCAACAGGGAGGAACCCCATTTTCTCAGCTGTGAGGACTGCATATTCCTTTAGGTGGTATGATGAGGAGCCGCGTGGCGACGATGACGACTGTTGTACGTACGCCAAGCTTCGAGGCCCCCGCCCCTGCCACAGAAGCAACAGTTTGATTTTGTGATTCTGAGAGGTCTTGTAAATTTCAAGAAACGACATAACGTGGCATCATCAAACACACTCGAAAAAAATAAGCTCATAGACAATATAATAATGAACAGGCTGAAAAGTAAGTACCTCCCACGAGGTTGCCACCTAGCACAAGCATGATGCATGGTACCGCAGCGCCTCTGCCAGATATAACCAAGAGTAAAAATAATGCCTTCCTCTGAATAGAAAATGAACTATCTCAAGGAAATTAATTGGATTTTACGTATTAGTGTGGACATAAAAATGTCTGGTGTGTGGCACTAACCCAAGAATGTTGAGGCTATCAAACAAAAAATACAGGAAAGAGTGCTCCGTAAAGATGAGACTCCTCAACAATGGAACACATCCAAACAAAAGAGCCAGAAACTGCATCAGAAAACAAAACGAAGAGTTAATATATCACGGGACTCTCGAATCAACACTGGTAGAACAATCGCAAACGAGAAAGTAGCTAATACATCAAACGTTCTTTTGATGCTTACAGAGGCTACTACAGGAGGCTGCAAGATGTCTTGGATTCTTCCATAGGATAACCAGGCATTCACCAGATCCCAACCCTGCACAAAATCAACAATGTTCTCAGACTATTTTTCTTCTTAACTTGAAATTGTGCCTTAGTTCAAATTCGTTTCATTCTCTTACTGAAATAATGTGATCAAGTCTAGTGATACGACTTTCTATGAAAAAACTTAGCAGTAGCATACCTGACGTCTTGGAGGAGGAGAATTGTTATGGATAAGCAAAGGCATCGAAACAGAAGTCGCATGGGAAATTGTAGGTTCTATGTTGGTTTCGTCGGATCCATTAGCCCCCACGACATCAGATGAGGTCGAACCGTCGACTCCTTTGGGCTTGCTAGGTGGTGCTAACATGCTGTAAACATATCTGTATACAATGACCGCCCCAACCTGCATAGGACGAAAAATTCAAGTTAATAGCCTGGGTGTTGATAACTTCTAGCGGAGCTTAAGGCGCACTTGGCGCTATTTTCAAGTTGGGGTTATGAGAGAGAAGGAAACGTACCCACTGCCCAAAAGAAATGTAAGCAACGCCGTTTGTGTTGCAAGTCTCAGGATCCTCAAGTGGATTTCCTTTCTCTCGACAAATGGCACCCATGATTACGAGAGGAATATTGCCAATGTTGCCTATGCCGGGGACGCAACATACGACCCATCAGATGTGTAAATTTACATGTTTAATCTTGTACAGTAAAATGAAATGAAATAACATCAAATTTCATTTCTTTTGAAAGTAAAATAAAATTGTAAATAGTAAAAAGGCCCTAAAAACCATCTAGCCAAACAAAGTTGCAATCTTGATTAAATGGTGAAGAAATTCAATCTAGCTTTGAAGTTTAAAGTGGAAATTTGAGTACCAATCCCTATAAAAATCACGGTGAAGTTGAAGAATTCGGGGGGTGGTTTTACCAGGCAGGCCACAATATAACCCACAATACAGCCCAAAGTTGACGCCAGTATAACATTCACTGGAATGAACCACCTGACAGTGACGACCGCAGAGAAAAATCAACATGAGGTGAATCAATATCATCTTTTTGTGTGGAAGAAGACATCAATTATCTATGCTCACAACAGATTATTGAAAGGCGAGAATGAGAGCAGCAAATATTTCTACTAACGTTATTCGATCAGAAATTGTGTGGAAGGTCGTTTTGCAGTTGCAAAATTTGCACACGAACTGCGTTTTGATGGTCAGGACGGATGAAAAGGATGGTGGATCATATCTCACCATTCAAGGACCTTCTCCAACGTTACGGCTTTCCCCAGTTGAGTGAAAATCAAACAGGGGAGAAAAAGAGAGAACACCAGCTGTAACACACAACATGATCGCATTCAGAGGCTTCCGCTTGGAGAGGATATCCTTCTCATTAGAAAAAGAGAGCATTCATGACCAGAGAGAGAATAACAGAGAAACCTACAAGTCACCTGTGACTTTATTTTCTTAAATTGGAAACAAGAACATAAAATAATAATAATAATAATAATCATACGGTCTAACAAGATGTACGAATGGCATGGTGGTTCAACAAGACAACTGGGGCATGATTAGACACAACGAAATGAGAAGAACAAGTAGGGCTTCTGTAGGAGAGATAGTAAGGGGGCGTGACCTTGCTGAGGTGCCGGCGAGAGAGAGCTGGAAGGATGTCAATATACGAGCTTGCAAAAAGTAAACCCAGAGCGCACATTACCAGCACCTTGGCAATGGGTAGAATAGCGAACCTCAAAAGAGTAAACACATTCTCGTGCATAAGCGCATCACCCACCCAGGGATCCATGACTTCGTCTCCTTGATTTCACCAGCAACCCTTCTAAACTGTCACCAAAATAATTTGTTTCTCACCATATCTTGTGATACTCAGCTTCTTTCATCGGGCACTCTGGAAATCGAGATTTAGAGGTGTCGGAGATTTGAATATTTAAGCAATCGAGCATTCAACGGCTCCCAAATTCAAAGAAAATTGATAACATTGGAGGAGAATCCTGCATCTGGGTTACGTTTTCTTGCTAATTGCAACGTTGTCTATCTAATCTCCATCCTTGCTTGCACCGAGAAAAACCTGCATTGAAAAACAAAAAATTTAAAAATGAACATGACTTCTATAAATCTAGGCATGAGAAAGGAGGGTGTCCTCAAAGGACAACTACACGCCGAGCAAAATCACCGCAGCTCCAGAACCACGCAGCGACCAAGTTACTAGAGAGCAAAATCAAAGGAGGTGTCAAAACCATCAATGACCCTGTTTCAATACGAAGATCACGCAAGGGGCAAGTTAGCAGAGGGAAACTGCCCAGATCCCTCTAAACCCTTCTTATCCAATATGATAACAGGGGGACGTGCAGCATCCTCGGAGACAAATGCCAGTCTCCGGATAAAATATCGGCCCCCGGCATGCTCTAGGCTCCTACATTCCACTGTTACATTGACTGGATCGAAATACAAGTTGCAAGCTTCCATGTACAGATTGGAGACAGAGAGGTGATGTAGATGACCTAGAAGCCACAATCACCACAATGCCAAAATCGTCGCGTAGATAACAACTCCGCAACATCACCAGGCATCTCCACAAGAAGCAGCAAAATGAACTTGCGGTACTTCAATTGTATGGGTCAACTACAAGAGAAACTCACCCACAGGTTACAATTCCAATCGAAGCAATCTACAAGGAAGTTCGACTTCAAGCTCAAGCTCAGAGCGGCTGGGAGAAGGGGAAGATTGAAGGTCCGCAGAAGAGTGTGCTAGATCTGGACCTATCGGCTACCGTGCCTCGCAAGGCGCTTCAAAGTTTCGAAAGGGTGACACCACAAGTCTCGTGATCTGTCGTCGTTTGTCATTCACGGTGCAATTCTCCAATCCTTCTCCCGTTCGTCTTGTTGTTTTTGGGTTTCCCCGAACTTGCTTCGCAATCCTTTTATCCAGCAACTCTATAAGATGCTTTTGGCAAGAGCAGCACCTTTCCTGAACACTTCAACTCACGCACCCTGCTGAAAACTATCAAACCCATCCATCACCAACATTAATAGATCGAAACGTCAACCAACTTACGTTAACAGTTCGAAAGCTCCCTACAGCTAGCGTTAACTATGACAACAATCAGGCCATCACTTTCCCACTGACATGAACTGTCCATTTCTGGAAGGAACCCAAAATCCTATAAACAACTCGGAGGCAAACGTAACGACAATAAAATAAACGAGCATTCCAGAAACCCCGCCTGCCAGATCATTGAATTTATTGGTGGGTATAAATTTCCCAATCATAGACCCATCCCACTTTAACACATGGTGGGGTTTGCTTCGTCTGAAAGGGGGCCATGGTTATCAATTCACAGACTGAGGAAATTGATCACGTCGGACTGCAACGCGAAGGCAAAGCACTGTTTCTTCCACGCATTGCTGGCAATCGCCTTTAAGTTTTGTCAGATGCACCTGCAGTATGTACTTGGGTACGATGTGAGCAGAATTCTTGTCCCGATCAACCATCAGCGTACGACGCTCGCTCCCGCTTCAAAAATTCTGGATGGCGCACGGCTGCTGTAGTTCTCTTCCTTTGTTTTACTGGTACTATTATTAACGACATACATCTATATATATATATATACATGTTTTTCCTGTCTGTGTCCATGTGCGACTCAGACAAGAGAATCCACCTGAGTTATCAATGAGCTTCGCTTGGCGTGCCTAATCTGGTCCATGGTTGCTGTGTCGTCCACTCATTTTTGCCCATGTTCTCTGGCTTTGCCTTTACCGGCCACCGCAAAATCCCCTGCAAAGACACACACAAAATCCCCTCGGTTTCTCTCTCTCTCCCTCTCCCTCCCTCGCTACCTCTCTCGCTCTCCTTCATTTGCCTCTCTCTGCAAATGCTTCAACTCTAACAACGTGAACCTGCAGAATCCCTGCCCCTAGGCCCAGCTCGCTTGCACCCTAAGCCCTAAACCTGGGCGTCGCCGCTCTCAGCCATCGTCATGCCGCGCGGTGCCGCGGACAGACGCGCACGCGGCAACAGGTGGAAACAGTAACTTCAAAAAGTGAAAAGTAAGCACCAGACAATGGAGCGGAATGCTTGGTGTCAACCAGGGTGGCTACTCGGAGGACACTCTGTAGGATTACCTTGTAAAGGTGCTCAACAAGTTTGATAATGCATATAAGAAACCTTGCCAAAAATAATCACAATAAGTACTATTGAAACTTAGAGGCAATTCATGAACTTCTTTGAGTGTTAAAATAAAATCTAATTTTATCGTTCGAAACAGAATAAAATCTGTTTTTATAATGCATTGAAAAAACTTACAATCTTTTTTTTATCATTTAATTCCATTCAAAATTATGTTGTGCATCAGTTATTACTGTATCATTTTATCTGTATCATTTCAAAACTAATGAAAAAATCTCAACTGCATAGTGCTATTGTGTACATGCAAGTATAAAATATATATTTTAGTTACATAATAAATTTACTTTCCATATGCATCTAATTCATAAGTTAGTATTCATGACTGATAACCTTTACTCAAAATTGCTAAATGTATTATTGTTTTACTATTTTATATTATCATAATTTTAAAAAACTTAATACTTTTTTCTGGTTTTTTGCATATATTATATACTAATATATAGATCAAATGTCACGTGTGATAGAGCTCAAAAAATGAATTTCATGCAAAAAGACAATAAAAAAACGTGACAAATAACACATTTGTCTTGTTGGATACAACAAAATTCATGTTTGATTCTTAAGAGAAATGATGAGGTGTGTGAAATTAAAATATTTCATTAATTTTTTGATGCTATGTCAAAAAAATAAAATAATCGAAAGTTAAAATATACGTCAGTTGTGTTTGGAATATTTACCTTTTGTGTTAATCATAAACGAAAAAGTTGAAAGTATATGCTCACAAATGTATGATTTACTCCTTTTTAGTAGAATATTTGGTTACATAACAACCCCAAAAGTGAAGATATTGTAGTGAAAAGTTTAAGTACTATTCAACACACTTAGTCAAAAGAAACATTAGCCAATTTGAGATCTTCTATGAAATGGTTGTTTTTTGTAGCAACTACTCATTTTGAGCATACCCATTAAAATATACTATCCTCTGTTGAAGATCAACCAGGCGAACAACTTTTCATAAATTTTGCCTCTAATTACTATAAACTGTTTTAAATGATGATGAGTAATTACTGTGAGAAGCAGCGCATAACTCAAGGTCCACCGATCCCACCCTTACCAGATACAGCCTCGTGGTAGCCAAAAAACAGACTCAAATGGTTCATAGTAGTTTACATTCAACCGATTGACTCTCGAACAGAAACAAAAATCCAAATAAATATCTGATATTCCCAGTATTCACAATTATAGTTTCGTTGAGATTGAATGGATATTACATACGCAAGGCAAAACATCCCCCATCGTTCACTGCGATGAGATCTAAATGGTGCCGAACTTAACCACAAATCTTCCTGTATACTGTCACCATTGTAAAACCCACATGTTTTCACACGCTTTAAATATCAAAACCTTTACCTTTTCTTGATTAAAAACGAAGGACCAATATAGAAATGCTCGCTCCAGCTCTCTCTCCATGTCTGCAGGGGCATCGGAACAAGTGCTAAAGAGTGTACTGGGCAACCTAACCTTCGATCAGAACCTGAGCTGGGTCGAGTGCTTATTCTTCAAGCTAAAAAAATGTTACCGTACCAAGTCAAAATAAAAATAAAACTATTTACAAAAGCCGCATTTGAATGTCGTCGACGAATATGTATGGGATAAGTTCAAGAGGAACGCGCAGCCGACCTCTTGAACACTACCAGTGACATTACCAGTACAGAAAGCATCATGGTTGCCCTCACTGTGCGATCGAAAAAATCATCAGTCTCGGTAGGCTGAAATTTTTCTTCTGCAGTAACGAGGATTCCCCGTATGAGCTCCTGCAAGGTAGCCATAAAATGAGCAAACGCTTTCTTGGTATTCCAGTAGACGTGAGAAAATATGTTGTTGTCTTCCTTAAGACACTTCGAGACCTCTTCTATAGTCGAATCGCTGCTGTTTTCTATCATCTCTGCAGACATCATTCGAAAGGCAGCGGTAAGGGACCCACTAAAACATTGAACATTGCCAAAAATAAACTTTTAAAAAACACAGAGATGAAATCCACACAAAACAACATAATTCTGCTAGACGTGCCCACCCTCTCAGAACATAATCACCAAAAAAAATCCTCAAATTCGTTGTTGAAGTATACTGAAGCAAAATTAAAGTTGCGATGAAGTCCGTACCAGGGGCTTCACGAAGCTTCTTCCTAAATTCTTTGATTTGATCGTTAGCCAACACAGCATCCCATACTCCCTTGTCGGTGGCCAAGGAAACTACCATTTGCTACATGGCCCAAGAGGCAACTGGTCAAACCGACTCACAAATACAGGGAATAAGCTCAGATAAACAAAATTAAACCACATAACTCTGAATGCCCACTGATCTCCAAGACAGAAAGCGAACCTAATGCGATCCGTTCAACTAATTCCATTATGCTTAATTAATAGAAATTATTTCTCGATAAGTATTTTGCAAGGAAAAAGGTCATAAAAATAAGGAAAAACAAATGTTCTGTTCGTACGATACACACAAGGTTGAAGTCCAAAAAGAATTGAGAGAGCTCAAGGAAAACCCTAAAGAACCTTAGATACCATTATGGCTTAAAAACCCTATCCGCACGACAAGATTCTGTGGTCCAGTATGCATTCCATCACAATTCTTTCACACTTCCAGTTCGTTAGAAAGGTTGGGTTAGGGTCCATGATCGATCAACTGGAGGTGCATCTCTTCTATCAATCCGTTATATAGACGTTCATATGTGCGCGTGCATACAAAAGAACCGATCAAGTCACACCTGAATCTGCGGGTTGTGCTGGAACTGATGAAAAGCCTCCAGCATTGCACTTTTTCCACCACTGCCAGCAACTTCCTTGCCCTTGGATGAGGAGGCCAGAGCAACAGATGGTTCCAGCCAGTCGTCAGCAACTGCATCCACGACATGATAACCAGCGTCCTCCCCATCTACTTTCGGATCACGAGACACAGCGCCATCCTTCTCCTTACCACTGGATCCTGCCCTTGCCAAAGATGACTCCAAAGGATTTGAACTTCTGTTTGTGAACAATCCTCTGCCAGAACCACATAGATTATCAGGACACTCTCAACGGCTATAAAGACCTCACACTTAGCACAAAAAATAAGTCCTCGAATTTCATCAAAATCCATGACAAATTCGACATTGAAAACTACCCCTCCACCCCCAAACTGTCAAAAAATTCAGTCAAGCGCATATAGTGTCTGTGAGCGCGATTGATTCCCAACTGATTCCTGACGCCGCAACTAAGACCTGAGTTAACCAACCCGACACACGCCTCCACTACTGGTTTGAAAAGAGAATAACAGAGAGAGAGGAAATCATAATCTAAATTCTACTTCCATGCCAGAATCAAGCAACTTTCTAGGCACCGAGAAGAGAAACTATAAGAGAGAGAGAGAGATTCAAACATGAGAGTCAGATAAGCTTACATCTGCAATGCATGCTGCAGGTCGGAAGTTGCCTCCTCCACTTCTCCCTGGGTGGGCAAGGTCCCAAAAACCAAATAGTCCTCGTCTCCAGCAAATTCCCAATCTTCGATGTCCAAATACTGCTTAAAGCCCGAATCAGTCGTGCTCCCGGGCGAATGGACCTCCGATGGGCAATCGCAAGTAATACGAGCAGACGTGGGAGCTTTCAGCGAGGGCGTCGTAGTACACATCCTGCACATCGCGGCATTGGTAGCGGCTGACGTAGGTCCTGATCCCACGACGCGGATTATACTCCTCCACATCGCTCCCCCTCCCATCACCCACTTGCTGAAGCTCTTCCACTCCAACCAATACGATCTCTCTCCCTCGCTCTCTCGCAGACACAAAAAAAGAAAAAAGAAAAAAGAACACAACACGACCCGATCGTTACTCTCGCTCTTTCTCACTCCAACTCAAGCCGAAGTATGATCAAATGCGTCTTCCGCACGCTCACAAGCCACAGCCCTGCACCGCACTCCCAGCAATCCCAGAAAACGGCCGCAATGGCGGGCTACATCGAAACGTGCACCGCTCCAGCCACCATCGCCAAAGCCTCAACCCTCCATAAACACCCTAGAATTTCCATGACCTTCGCCTCTCCCATCCAAAATCCCCCTCCATAACCACAAATTCTCGCCTCCTCCCCGCCCGCAGCTGCCCGAATAGTCGCCTCGATCGACCTGCACGCAACCAAAACGCATCCCGGAAGCAAAGCAAAGCAAAGCAAAGCTTTGCCTTCGTCACCTCGTTGTCGCTTGCGACCCCTCGGAGCTATCAGGTAGGTCCGGTACCAACCCTCCTCAAATTCTTCCACGTCGACAGGGTCGCAGTTCCGACCCTCTCAAAACCTGTGTCGAAGCCTAATTCGATCTTCTAGCATTTGCCTCTTACCAATGTTTTCAAAGGCTTCTAACAATATGTTGTTCAATTATTATTAAGCTCTTTACAAAAAATTGTGGCAACTACCCAACATTTATGTTTGTAGAAATGCATGGATGATAAGCTAATGAAGTAAAAAGGTGAGAGTGCAACTTGGATACTTATTTTGTAAAATTGGTATTAAGAGGCATCATACAATTAGATATGTGTAAAAAATAGTGTTGGAAAATTAGAACGTTACAAAATTAGATGTGGACATGACTCTTGAAGGATATTAAAAGATGTCTTGTTGATGAATCTTTATGCAACAAAGAGAAAGAGAATGAAGGATATTAAAAGATGTCTTGTTGATGAATCTTTATGCAACAAAGAGAAAGAGAGTAAATGATATTAAAAGATGTCTTATTGATGAATCTTTATGCAACAAAGAGAAAGAGAGTGTGATTGTTATCTTTATTTGTGTATAGATTTGGAATTTGTAATTAAAAGGTAATAGATTCGAGAAAATAGGTGGAGAAGAGAAAACTGAAAGATTTTTGTGGATAAATCTAATTACAATTAACTTGGGGTAGGCGACTAATCATGGTTAATATTAGAAGATTGCTAAAAATATTTGATGCAATGGAGAAGATGCCTATCTTGGTTTTATTTATTTATTTATTTTTTGAAATTCTCTTAAAACAAAATGAGGAGCTTTTCATTTTCTTCCCAGATGTAGTGTTTTCAAAAAAGTAAATATATAATAGATTCTTATAAATTTTCTTATTTTTTTAAAAAATAAGTTTATGAATCATCTTTTTATTATAACATTTTCTAATTCTTGTTATTAATTACAAAATATAGTAATCATTATCAATAACAATGTTTCATTGTATAAAGTCTTTTTCGGAAATAAAAATGAGCATTCAATTTGAAGAAGAAAACTTCTATATAGCCACAGTTATTTTATAATTCTAAATAATTTTTAGTATCCAAAATAAATTAAAAAAAACTCAGAAGACAAGGATTTTTTTTTCTTCCAAAATAAAGTGATTAAAAATATTCTTATCAAACACTTTAAAAAACTATAAAATTATATTTTTTTAAAGAAATAAATTGATTATATTTGTAATTGTCATTTTTTAGATCCTTCTAAATCATAATCAAGAAAATTATATATCTTTAGAATCCTCTTAAAGTGAATTTTCTAACCTCACTACTTAATCTCTATAAAGAAATAAAATTATTCTTATGTAATTATTTTAACACATCAAAGTCAAATTTTGACCATGTCTTCAAAATAGTTCTTTCTTGGATGTTAATTCTACCATTTTTATGGCTCAATTTTCAAAACTAAAACTTTATGTTTTCTGAAATCAAACTTATTATTATATTTTTTCACATTATTAGTTTTATGACTATAAAATTATGGCATGATTAAGGCAATAGAAGTTCTTTTATTGTAAAACTCAGCATAAAGCATATACTTGCTTGTTAAACTTAATTTATTACTTATCTAGGCAAAATATATAATTTTTTTTTTTAAGAAATTGGTTTTAATTTTTAATTTTAAAAAAAAAACTATATTATCTTTTGAAACACACCAATTTTCACATGTATAATGCATGGTTTTTAATTTTTCAAATTATATTTTAGATTCTAATTGATTTTTTTAAAAAAAAAATTATACATATAATGCTTCAAAATGTGAATCCTCACTATTTGGTTTCATTTTTATTTTATTTAAAAACAACAATTATCTCTTTCAACTTTGTTGTTTTATTCTTATACAACGAAGCAGTGACATAACCTTTAAATGATTGAGGCAACAAAGTCAATAGCAGAATAGATTTATTCTCATTTTCTAATTTTATACTAATTATTTTCAATTCATGTAAATCTTATTAAAAATAATCAAATGATCTAACACTCTTATGCTTTCTTTTAAGCACTAGCTATGTGATTTTTGCTTCAAATATAATTAATCTATCAATAGCTTTATCATATATAAATTCTCTAGTTTTTATATTTTTAGTGTTAAACTCTTACTTATAGAATTATAAAATATTATACGTATAAGACTCAAATACATTGGACTTACTACTTAGGCTAATTTCTTCTTGCTCTTTATTAATCTTCTTTATGATTTCTTTTTAAAATAATTTTTGCAATCCTTATTGAATAAAAAAAATATATTACCTTCTTTGTTGATGTCTTTGTTACTTATGTGTCATCTCAACCACATTCTTATATCAATTATTGAAAAATAAAAATAAAATTACACTTATAAAAAAATCACACAAATATTTTATGAAAACTTTAGTAAAATAATTATATAATGTACTTCAAGCATCTATTTCTACCAAAAATATTTAAAGATTTAAGATTGTTACATTTATTTAATAGTAATATTATGCTTAAATAGTTACTTATATCAAAGTTAATAAATATATAATATTATCTAATTTATTTAATAATGATATTAAACTTCAATGTCTTTATATTTTAAAAGTGGTTAAAGATTTAAAGTTGCCTATTTGATTTGATAATAATATCAAACTTAAGTACATGCTTATCTTAAAGGTAGTAAAAGACGTGAATTTGTTTAATTTATTTGGCAATAATATCAACTTTGAATACATTTATATTTTAAAAGTAGTCAAAATTTTGAGATAATATAATTTATTTTGTAATAATATCATACTTATCTACTTACTTATAATAAAAATAATATAAGACATAAAACTATCAAATTAATTTGTTAAGTTGGAGCACTATTATATTTAAAAAGTAATAATAGATGAGAATTTATTGATTTTATTTTAAAATAATGGTGTCAAGGACAAAAATTCAATAAAGATAAATAAATAAATAAGACTTTTATCAAAGAAAGATGAAAAAATAAAAATAAGAAAGTATAAATATTCAAAAAGAAACTAGAATGGCTATTTCCAAAAGATAAGAAAATTAGAGACCTTTAAAACTAGACTAGAAACAAGAAAAGAATTGACATGAGTGAAGAAGGCTCCCATCTTGCCTCTATATATACTATCCACCTAAAAATTATATGGCGGTATTTTATAGAACCTCCAATACATGTTTAATTTGCAAGACACATATTTTTACTTACAAGGCAAGTTTCTTATATGTCCATTACATGGTTAGCTTCTATTATAAGCTACTAATACATGCAACATGTGGCTAACTATTAGGGACATAGTCCTTAGAACCTTCTAGAGACAAGTTTCTAGAATCTTCTAGAAGTAAATCTTTGGAACCTTTTAGAAGCTTCCTACTTGATAGAAGTTGCTTGAGAAGCTTCCTAAATAGGAGTATATATTGGAATCGAGGCTGAAGAGTTCTTCAGTCTTGACAACACATCTCTTGGAGCTCTAGCTCACCTCTCTATTGTTGTTCTTGTATTCATCTGATTAATCTAGATCTTGTCAGTTCTTCTTGAACTTCTTGTTAGATCTTGAGTCTGTATTTTTGTGTCTATGACAGTTTGTCAAGACTTCACTCACCTCAGATATCAGAGCTAATTTCTTCCTCATTAGAGAGTGGATTATCCCTGAGCTTGGAAGTGTACTAGCATTTTAGAGGTTGCGGATTACCCTCCTCTAAACTGATACTTGTTTTGTTAAAATATTAGAGTCTTATTCTTCTTGGAGAGAGTGGATTACCCCTTTTTTTAAAGCTCTTAAGGCATTTTAGAGGTTGCGGAGTACCCTCTTCTAAACCAATATTATCTTCTTGTAGAGTCATTTTTGTCCTTCTCTAAGAATAGCCGAAGGCCAAGACATTAGTATGACGGAAAGTTCGGAGTCCAAGTTGGATGCTATCATGAATGCCCTCACTACGTTATCGCAAAGAACTGCAGAGATTGAAGGAGTCATGGCAAGGCTTTATAATGATGGAGCATCTGGGATGGCACAATCTAGGTTGCACCAGCCTCAAACTTCTGCACTTGGAGAAGCAACTTTGCCTCAGGTTCGACAAGCACCGCTGGTTCTACAACATAAGGAGCCCCGAGTTAGTCTTCCAGACAAGTTCGATCGTACAGGTTCCAAGTTTCGAGGATTCGTCAACCAAATCAGGTTGATAACAGTTTTACAGCCCGAACGCTATCCAACAGAGGAGTCACATGTTGGGCTTGTTGGAACCTTACTTACAGGACAAACTCTATCATGATTTGCTCCTTTGTTTGAGAAACGATCGTCCATACTAAACAACTTTGAAACCTTTTTGGAAGCGTTTGCGGAAGCATTTGGTGAATACGACAAGGTTCGATGGGCTATAACAAAGATCAAGTGACTACGACAAAAGATACGCTCTACATCAATCTATGCATCGAACTTTAGGTAATTAGCATGCGACATCAATTGGGACGAAGAAGCGTTGATGAGTCAATTCTATTGGAGTTTAAGGGACGATGTGAAGGATTTGCTGTTAACTCTTCCTGATCCGTAAACGCTCAACGAAGCTATTAGCCAAGCTATGAAGTGTAATAACCGCCTATTCCAACGTCGCCAAGACCAATGTTCAAGTTAACATATGGTTTACCACATCCCAACTATGTTGGCAAGCAGCATGAATTCACATTCAGAGGTAGAAGACATGTAAATTGATACGGTACGTATCAAATCCCTTACTCTAGAAGAAAAAAAGCGGCGTATGGAAGAAGGTCTATGCTTGTATTGAGGTGAAGAAGGCCACAAAGTTGGAAACTGCCCCAAGAAGCAAAATCGATGTATTATCAGGACTAGGGGCACGTTTGTTCAAGAAAACGAGGATGCCCAGTCACAATAGGAATCGTGTGGCTGGACAATGAAATATCACAACATCAACTAGATTCCTTTCTTTCT